GGTTGATCGTCCACTAGACAAAGCAATCACTCAGCGTACCGTGTTGAGTTTTGTTTCCTCTGTTTTTGATCCAATTGTGTTAGTGGCTCCGTATACCGTGAAGGCTCGCCTTCTATTAAAAGATATCTGGCGAATCAGCGGTCAAAAATGGGACGATGATCTGCCAGAGGAAATCAAAAAGCAATTCCTTGAGTGGCACTCAGGTTTTCATTTGTTAGGTTCTCTGACAATACCTCGCAGCTATTTCACTGAGCCTTTCGACCGAATAGAACTTCACATGTTCGGTGATAGTTCGCAGGATGTTTTCTGTGCCGTCGCTTTCCTTCGTGCGCGACTTGTTAGCTCCCATCAGACCGAATTAGCCTTTGTGTTTGGCAAAGCCCGCGTCGCGCCTATGAAAGCGCTTTCTATTCCAAAGTTAGAGCTTCAAGCGGCTCTTCTTGCAACCCGCTTAAAAGAAGAAATTTTGAAAGGTCTCACTTTCAAAGTTACGGATATTTTCATGTGTACAGATAGTACCACTGTTCTTCAGTGGCTTCACTCTTGTAGTAAACTACCCGTTTTTGTTGATAATCGCACTGGTGAGATTCTGGAGTCTACCAGCACTGATCAGTGGCATCACATACTTAGCGGTGATAACCCAGCTGATACCGGTACACGAGGGATTTCTTCGGAAGCCCTCAAGGAAAGCAGCTGGGTTAATGGCCCTAGTATATTAAGAACAACTGATTGGCCGTTCAAGCCCGATACAAGGGTTATCGATAAAATAAGACTCAAAGGACCATCATGTGATATCGACATTTGTCTGGAAAATTGGTCAAATTTCGTCGTCGATGTTTTGACAGAAGAAAATCTTCCCTTCGGAAAATGGGAGAGATTCAATTCAATTGTTAAATACAAACGCGCTGTAGCATTTTTGTTACGATGGCTGCCATCCCATAAACATTTCCGGTCGAGTATATTAGAAATTACAGACCCGTCTGAAATGGATTTTGCTGAACAGAAGCTCATTTACCTGTCCCAGGGTGAGACATTCCCTAGTGAGCTAAAACTACTAAGATCCGGTAAAGTTATCACAAGGAATAGTCGGATCGCCAAGTATTCGCCGTTCATTGGACCAGCTGGCATCCTTCGCTCGACTGGGCGCATCAGCCGCTTGGTTAATTCCGATTTCGATAGCAAGCATCCGATTATACTTGATGCACGTCACGCGGTTGTTCGGTTTTTGGTTCAGCACTTGCACGTTAGGAATTTCCATCAAGGCTTGGATTACATGCGTTCGGTGGTTAATTTGAAGTACGTCGTGTTAAATTTGCAATGGTTGCTGCGAAACATTGAAAATACTTGCGTCGTGTGCCGAAAACGCAAAGCGCAAACCGTAACTCATATGATGGCTGATCTGCCCATTGAAAGGCTGGGTTACAAGCAACCTCCATTCACTAACACAGGTGTTGACTACTTTGGGCCGTTCCTAGTTCCAATCCGGAGAAGTACGGAAAAGAGGTGGGGTTTTTTGTTCACCTGTCTCACTACTAGAGCGGTGCATATTGAAGTGGTCCCCTCGCTCGACACAAGCTCTTGTGTGATGGGCGTAGAGAGGTTTATTGCACGTCGCGGTACTCCGACTACTATCATGTCCGACAACGGAACGAACTTTGTTGGCGCTCAGAAAGAGCTCTTAGCTTGCGTTGAGAGTTGGAACAAGCTCGCAGCCGCTGTTTTTGTTCAGAAAGGGATAAAGTGGAAATTCAATCCACCCAGCGCACCGCACCATGGTGGGTCCTGGGAGCGATTAGTTCGGAGTGTTAAGCGCGTCTTGTATGACATCCTAGGCAACAGGAGAGTAACTGAGGAGGTTCTAGGAACCACGCTGTGCCTTGTTGAGCAATCACTCAACGCTAGACCGATAACAGCCGTTAGTTCCGATCCGCTAGATTTAGAGGCGTTGACCCCGAATCATTTTATCCTTGGTCAGCACGCAGCGAGTTTTCCGTCGCTAAGTTTCGAAGACAACTTCGACCATAAGAAGCGGTTCGCCAGAGCGCAATCATACGCTAACGCAATATGGACACGGTGGATGCGGGAATACGTTCCTTCCCTCAATAGGAGGGCAAAATGGCACAACCAGTCAGACGTTAAGTTGAAAGCCGGCGACTTGGTTTGGGTCATAGAGCCTGACACTCCACGTGGACATTATCCAATCGCACGTATCCTAAGACTGCACTATGGCAAGGACGGATGCGCGAGATCCGCCGACATAAAGACAGTAACGAGCGAACTGACCCGCCCGACCGTAAAGCTCGCTCCCGTTCTTCCTTGTTTAGGGGTGGAGGATGTTGCAGCGCAAATATAAAACAATAGTATAAATGCATATAAAACTGAACCAAAATGTAAATGCATATAGGGACAGTAGCCAAGCGTATACAGGGTGCGTCTCTGCGGGTTCGGCGCCGGTTCGAATCGCGACTAGGTCATTTCCTTTCTAGAACTCGAATATGCACCGAACTTGATGGGATGCTCCGTACCCAGGTTCGAACCCCCCCAAAACCTATTTTAACCGTCTTTTCGCTCTAATTTGGTTCAGCCTTGATTAAGGCTGACCTTTAAAAAGAGCAATTTGTCTCAAGGACAAATACTGGCCATTTTTGCAGCTTGCTTTGAGTTATGCAGTTTATTGTGGCCGATGTTACCGATGTTAACAATAAAAAAAGTTTGTTAAAAATATCATTATATTACGAAATTTCCAGAGTTATTTTCCCGATAAAATACTCGTTAATTCAAGTGTTTAAAAACCGTTTTTTATATAATCGTGGAGATTGACGCGCACACCAATCTGTGATTGAAGACCATTAATTGACAATTTCAAACTATACGTAGTAAAACAGCCAATGAAAGTCAGATAGGTCAATCATTCTTGGCATCCTAATGATTCCATCCAAGAATATGGCCTTGCTCAGAAATCAGCGATGACTACTTAAGAAGCACACCCATAATAGGGATTTCTTATTGTTTTGACTTTCCAAAAAATTAACGGAAATTGTGTTTGAAGTGATACCATTATTCACACCAATTTCGGCTACCAAGTAATAAACTTTCAGAAAAAAAAAACAATTTATACTCCAATCAAGATATAGCCGTCATGAGTTGAATGAATTTATTTTTCGTCGAGAATGATCCCGCTTTCAAATTTCTTCTAAAATGAATTGAGGTAATCTAATTGGTCATTTTAATTCCCCATTTGTTTGAATGTTTTTGAAATTACCGTTCTATTTTGGTTGTTGCCAAGGAAAGTTAAAGTTAATAATTTCTAATTTATCAAAATTTTCAAAGCTAAAAACTATTCGAGGCCCTTAAAGGGCAGTCGGAGTTTTGTGGGCTTTACCCTGATACGAACCCTCTTGCTTTTGCTTTGAAGAACTTTGCTTCAAACAAGTCAGAGAGTTTTCGCGAGTCAAGAAGATTAGAATTTTGTAATACCTAAACAAATATTCAGTTACAGTTTGCTGGCTGCTTTTTATCAAGCTGGGTCACAATCTCGTACAAGTTACTTGATAGAAAACAAGACTGCTCGTATCAGGGTGAAACATAAAAATTCTGACTGCCCGTCACAGTCTGTGAATCAGTTTTTAAAAACCAACTGAGCAAAAAGTGTTAGAATTTCCAAAAATAATGAAGCAAAAATTTGAAATATAATGAAACTAAACCACCTACGTACCTATTCCAAGTACAAATATTCTCAGCGTCACGTAATAAAAACACCAAATATCTTCCTATATTTTAATTTGGAACCATACATGAGCGGATTAAATAAGCACTGTCGCCGCGATAGCACAAAAACATTGTTAGTTAATTGTCTTTCATTAGTTGATTTGCCAAAATTCGATAACCGATAATTTTTCAAAAAAGGATCACAGGTGAATAGCTTTTTTAATTTTAGCTTACGGCTACACCGGCTTTCCGATGGTATAAAAATTCCGTTCAAAATTGCTGATTAAAAAGTCAAATTTGGTCTGGAGAAAAAAAAATCCCGAGCACAAATATTCTGTCAATTTCTAACAATGACGAAACATATTAGAAATTTGGGTTACCCATTTTTTGCTATCTATCAATGCGACAAATTTCGGCTCAAAAAGAGTCAGCTGCAAACCTCAAAGTTGTGGCCTGGTGGGTGGGGGGATGTTAACTTGATCCCTTTCAAAAACGTGACAAAAAATTGTGTCCGCGATAGCAAGTTCTTGTCACATTTCTTGAAAACCAGATAAGTAAAATGATTCAAAAAAATTATCCAGTGACCAGGGGCGGATTTAGGGGGGGGGGGGATTTGACGACCCTCAGGGATTCGACCCCCTCAGACTCATCTAGACTCATCAATAATAGACTCATCTTATCAAAGGCTAGCTACTCCAATTATTGCAATAATAGATTCGATTTATCATTTACTATATATTGAGTATGGAGGAAATAACAATTTTGAAACAAAAAAAATTAAGTTTTCAAATTTCGCTGAAAATATTTTTTTTGCCGAAATCTTTGGCACATAAATCGAAGGTTACTCGAAATATGAAGCTTTTGATTCTACCATTGGTGGTGTTTAATTGAGGTTTCTGCAGTTTAATTGAGGTTTCTGCACCACTGAAAAGCAATCAAGCCTGTCTGGGCATAGTCCATTTCTGCTGAGTGGGATGTAA